GATATTTTTGCAGTTTTGAGCTGGAGTAGGGTCAGAACAAAAAAAACTGTTATAAGGAAATTTTCTACACCTCCGAGAATGTCGTTTTTTTAAAATGCAAACATAAAATTACCTTTACGATGATTTTAAGTTAGTTTTGGGCATCACCTTAACATTTTGTTTTGTTAATGTCACTTGACTCTGTGATCTTTTGGCTACGTAATTTTAAATGACCAATGCTGGATCAGTTTCGTTGAAAAAAACTTTGATGGAACCGGAGACGTGATATTAATGGTGTGAGGAGAACATGATGGTAGGACAAGAACAAAAATATTCATATTTCCAATTCCAAGGCATCAAAATAAGTTTAAAAATAACGCAATCTTTGCAGATGCGGAATGACTCCTTTTAACATTCTTTTCGGTGTCTACACCAGCGGAAATCTGTCCAAATAACTATGAGAAGCTGGAATGGAGACAGATGATTCGGTCTACCCATTGATATGTATGTTGTCGAAGCATTTAACTCATTGAACTACGGATTGAAAAATATACGTTGTCGATTGTTTTGTGTTTAATGCCCAGAAACTATTAACGTCAATATTTCTTCTTTTTGAAAGTCTAGAAATGTTTGTATTAAATAACAAAAAAAGACTCCTTCGCGTTTTAACCATCTAGATCTTGTTTTCACAAACAAATGTTGATGAGTTATTCCTAAATCAACGCCAAAAAATTAAAAAACCGTTCATCGATAAATGGCTAAATTCGAACTTGTTCAAAATCTCATTAATGTAAATGATCACACCAAATTTCATTCAAATCAGATAAAAACGTTGTCTCTATTGCGTTCACAAGCCAATTACGGATGGACAGGGGCGACGACAATATACGACCACATTATTAAAATGTGGGCGTGTAAAAACATTGTTTACTATTTTTAAAAGTTCATTTACGAACCAGTTCTATAAGTATTGGAATATTAGCTTCAAAATAGCAGGTTACTTTAAGTTTTATCATAACTTGTTGAATAGATATTCATGACGTTTTTGCCATTCTAATAATATTAGAACTGTTTTAAAACTTGCTGTCATATGAACCTAAAATATCCACTAATATAACCTCAAATAGTAGAACGAGCCGTTTTTTCTTTCCTTCAGATACATTGTGATATTACACGACTCTACTTTAGTAGATAACTACGCAAAACAATTTGCCTTGTTAATTGCCAGATTGATGGTCACAATGTAAAAACACTCTAAAAATGCACACAGATTTCAGAAGTTAAAACTAAGCTGTTAGTCCTGTAGATCAACATCCAAACATCACCTGTCTACACCATCAATGCATATTATATTCAGGGGTATACCTAAATACGACGATTACCGAATGATTCTTTCTAATTTCGCAAATCGCATGTTACAGCAGGCATAAACCTTAATGACCAAACAAGACTAGCTGGTGACAAAAATCCGCTGACCATGTGATAGTGTTTTATCAAGGATCTATTACTTCCGTATCAGATAAATACAAATATCTGTCCAAGTTTTAAGGCCTTGGTTTATCAAAACAGACCAAAGTTTTAATCTACTTCTAGTAACCAGCCCGAAGTATTTTGAATGCCTATAAAAAGGGGATCTGATCAAGTCAAGACCATTGTCAACAAAATCAAACAAGATGAAACTGTTGATTGTTCTCGCTGCTTTAGTTGGTGAGTGTAAAAGAAATCAATTTTGATTTATAAAGGCACGGATGTACGAGATGGATCAGCACTCTTTGAATTTGAACAGAGCTCAGTTCATGTCTATTGACTTGGAATTTCAAATCATTTGACTGTTGATTTTTCTGGTGTTTTCATTCTACAAGGAACCTATCGTGTTATAATTTAAGAAGTTGGTGCACCGATGATCGGTCTGCTAACTGTCCCTTCTGGTGATATAAATAACATCCAAATAGTTTAATTGATAGCTTTTATAAGATGTAAATGAAATGTCCGATTTGGAAAAATCTATCGGGTTCAGCTTTAATTGTGTTTTACTTAAACTATCTTTTATTCAGTTGTTGCCTTTGCTTGTCATGGTGACCACGAATGTGGACATTTGACCAACTGTCATCCACACGAAAGACCAATTTGTCACGAAGGAAGATGTCTTTGTCATGGTAAGTTTTTACTCTGATTATAAACGTTTATAACAATATATAATGATATAAAAACTCAATAATCAATTGTAGATAGTTATAGAAATACCACTGTTAAAATAGTGCTCAATACATCAATAGAAGAGTGATATAGAAATACCACTGTTAAAATAGTGCTCAATAATCAATTGTAGAGTGATTTATTTTATTTTAATATTTCCAATAACTTGAAATATATAATAGAGTACTCAATAGTAAATTTAGAGTTCTCGAATAAGATTGATCCAACTGTAACCATTAATCCTTTACGGTTTCATTTTCAGATGACCACCGTCCCAGACAACCAGGAACATGCACTGATAAGGATTTCAGCAACTGCTCCTGTGAACATGGAGGAACTCCGGCTTGCCAACATGGTCACTGTCATTGTAACCATCATTAAGCCTACTTACCTGCAGAAATGATATAAATTGCTATTAAAGGTTTATTTCTGATTTTATATTTCCAAACCAAATGTTTATTCAGGGACGTAACCAGAATTGATAGTTGACAATACAACGACTACATCCGGAGGAGCAATGGTGTATAGTGACAGTAATTGAATTCATAAAAAGATTTTCGGATGGGAGGGGGGGTGTTGGTCACCCTTGTTACGGGCCTGTATTTAGTATACACAAAATGGAGTTGTATTTGGTGAAGATGGATTATAGACATATTTCCCCAAATGAAAATTTCATAAGCTGCAACCAATATATTTCGTTTCGTTTTGTGGTACTTTTTTTATTCTTAAATATACATTTACAAAAAAGAAATAACTTCGTGCTAGATATAAGAAAACACAACACCATTGTCAATGAAAGATAATGTGAAATCGGGTCAATATTGCAGGTAAGATAAAGATTATCAGAAAACCAGACCAAGGTTCTGGGCTATCTAAACCATGAAATATTATCAAGACTATAAAAGTGACACAAGGTAACGATTACCGTTACATCGTTAAGCATTTCGATAACAAGATCCATATTCATTCCTTATGTTTACATTGGCCTGGCAACCTTTAAGTGGGTATGTCATAGCGTTGTCAGCATTTATTGGGTCATAATGATATCAAGATAGAGTTTTCAGCGTTTATTGGGTCATAATGATATCTGGTTTAGTTGGGTATATTGAAGAACAATCATTAGTTCTATAAACATTATTAAGTAAAGAGGGATAACTGTAAATATAATGAAAAAAAACCAACAATGTTAAAATGTTCACAAATTAGCAATCTGCGTACACAAGTTCACAAGGAGACGGCTTTCCTAAAGGAACATTCCGCTTGTTATTTATAAAACATTTTTAATATCAAAAACGTGGTAAATCTTTAGAAAATAGTATACTATTTATATCTATGTATCTACTTGATCAAAGAGAATTTGTTTTTAAAGGTTAATTAAAACGGGGAGTACTAATTGATAATTAAACTGTTTGTTCTAGTTTTGGTGTTGGGCTTTATAATGAATCGATATTATTAGTTAAAACCTTTAGAATGTAAGAGACATAGTTAAATACAATTAGGCGTTTAGTTTACGCAAATCCATACAGTAGTTTTGTAACAGCTTCCATAACGCATAACGAACTTAAAAAGATAACACAGACTTACGTAATGTTTTTAAATAGATTTGGCACTAAAAAATTAACGGATTTTTAAGTTAAAACTTTCAGATACGTTAAGGGAAATATTTGGGTAGTTTGGTGTATAATTTTCACATATTTGAGCACAACAAATTTTCGACCTACGAAAGAAGAAGAATGTCCCGGTATTTAGCTCACTCTCCTTCTTGCAACATAAAACAAATACTATAAGTAGTGGCCTCCTCCAAAAGTACCATCAGGTGTTTCAAAAGACTAAGCATGACACCCGCCACTACTATTTGATTTCATCAAATTTGAAATATCAATCAGTCAGTAGAGAACAATAGAAGTAACTACGACAACAATCTTTAAAAACTAGACATGATCATAAACGTTACGAAGTTAAAAAATTCTAAAATCGGCAAACAGATTAACAAAAGCATTTACAGATTAATATAGATGAATCTGATAGCATAAAATATATACAAATTATTTGTCACTGAACTGTTCTTGTGAACATGGCGGATCACTAGTCTGCAAACATGGTCATTTTCACTGCAGTCACCACGTTTTCAGGCAACCAGGAAAATGTACTGACGATGATTTCAGCAACTGTTCTTGTGAACATGGCGGAACTCCAACCTGCAAACACGGTTATTATCATTTCAACCGCCATTAAGAATGAAAGTTAACAGCCAACATGTAGTTACGAAAAGTGTACATGAATGTATATTTATCCACCCCCCAAGATCCTTTCCCCGGAATGTTTCAACTTATTTTAATACCATTCATGAACATTGTGAACATAAAAATTGACACAAGTTTATCGGTCTTTGGGTTTATAAACGAACGGCTGTCTAAAACTTAAATATGAAAATCGTTTATTTATAAAAGAAAAACCTCCTAAAAACGTCTTAGCAACACCATTATCTTAATGGGAATTTACATATCGGTAATTCTGCTGAATCATTTGCGGGTTGGTCGGTATAATCAGCTTCTAAGACCAATTCTCCATCTGGTTCACAACCTCCACAATTTCCACCACAAAAGCCTTCAATTACTCGACCATCATCTGACCATGTTATATTTTGTATTACTCCATCTGTCCCCCAAGTTTTCCACTTGGCTGTAGAGTTGATTTTAAATCCTGTCCCCCGGAGGTCGATGATAAAGTGACCAATGACTCCACAAACATCACTATCATTTCCAGCATAACAGTCGCCAGCTCGTCCATAATCTTGCAAGGAGAAGGATGAATTGGCATACATCCTCCCTGTCGTTTTTATTTTACCACTTATAATATTCCTTATTTTTTTAAAATCAGTATAACCCATTGAGAATGTACTTGGGTCTGTAGCCTCTATCAGTTCACAGGAGGTACCGTTTCTTGTGTAAATAGGCGTTGATGCAGTGTTATATTCCGGAAGAGATATGTACATAGCAGCATTAGATATGCCTGTAAAGCTGCAGAAAACTTTTCGCCGTGAGTTGAAGGTACTTAAGTAAAGCCAGAAGTCTTTGCTTTGCATTTCAGAACAAATTCGTGTATTGCTACACTTGGTGTATTGTATACAATCCACGTTACTCCAAAAGCCGTTTGAAGTGCACGTGACATTCGTTGCAGCGAAGCGACCTCGAATACAGGCGTATTCGACCACCTCATTAAAATCCCATAAAACTTTGCTTGTAAAAGAAGTAACATTTATGTTTGGCACTTGAGGTATTCCAGTACATCCTATTGGTTGGCAGTCAAAGCCAGAGTTATTCTCCTTACAAACAGTGTTATTTGGACATTGATGATTTTTGCAGGTACGTAGTATGTTTTCGTTCCAGGATTTAACATATATCATCACACTCACTGGGTTAAGACGTCTATAATCACCCGTGTCAGAAATAAGAGAACAATTTAATGTTTCGATATTGAAGTTTACAAAATAGCATAATGTATGAAGTTTGCACTGCCTGGCACAATCTATTGGACCCAGAGATGTAACCGACTTAAAAGGTGGATGTATAAATTCCAGATTTTTAAACATATTTGGTAGGTCGTCCTGTTGAAAGCATTGGTTTCCACCTCCAAACGCTACTAGAGAGTTAACGGCGAACATAACAACGATCAGTAGCATTTTCAATATAGAATCCACGCGTAAGTAATACAATCTGTCTCACTGAGCTAAATACCTGCTTTTGTCTGCTAGTTCTTACATCACTTTTCCTATGAAGACGAATCAATAGTAAACGAAGGACTGCTAACGTATGACTCTGGTTTATTTTTTTTATTATTAGAAATCAATCAATTAGTACTCGATATAAACCACTTTTGTCTCATTTTGGAAAATAGTCAACTTCCATGACAAACACGCCATTTTACTGCAGACCACCCGCACAAAAACATCAAAACATTGTCAATTCTTACATAAATGATATATGTTCTGAATTTTTTACCTATAATATCAAGAAAGTCTAAAACTTTTGCAAGGTTATTTTATTTGAAAAAACGTACTTTTGTCTAGCAAACTGTAATATGTCATCCAATTACCTCACATGAAGTGTGTTTGAAACCATATATTTTTGGTTTCTTTTTTCTTCAAAATTACCTCCCTTGAAGTTGAAACCGCTGTCAATCAGTTTAATTCCATACCAACAACTACCTAGTCTGTGATATCAGTTAACGGGAAGTGGACGTTAACTTGTAATCTACCAACAACTACCTAGTTTGTGATATCAGTTAGCTGGAAGTGGACATTAACTTGTAATCTACCAACAACTACCTAGTTTGTGATAAACAGTTAGCTGGAAGCAGACGTTAACTCGTCATCTACCAACAACTACCTAGTCTGTGATATCGATTAGCTGGCAGTGATTGTTAACTTGACATCTACCAACAACTACCTAGTCTGTGATATCAGCATCCACTGGAAGCAGACGTTAACTCGTCATCTACCAACAACTACCTAGTCTGTGATATCAGTTAACTAGAAGTTAACTTGTCATCTACCAACAACTACCTAGTCTGTGATATCAGTTAGCTGGAAGCGAACGTTAACTTGTCATCTACCAACAACTACCTAGTCTGTGATATCAGTTAGCTGAAAGCGAACGTTAACTTGTCATCTACCAACAACTACCTAGTCTGTGATATCAGTTAACTGGAAGTGGACATTAACTTGTCATCTACCAACAACTACCTAGTCTGTGATATCAGTTAGCTGGAAGCAAACGTTAACTTGTCATCTACCAACAACTACCTAGTTTGTGATATCAGTTAACTGGAAGTGGACGTTAACTTGTCATCTACCAACAACTACCTAGTCTGTGATATCAGTTAACTGGAAGTTAACTTGTCATCTACCTGTGGTATCAGTTAACTGGAAGTTAACTTGTCATCTACCAACAACTACCTAGTCTGTGGTATCAGTTAACTGGAAGTTAACTTGTCATCTACCAACAACTACCTAGTCTGTGGTATCAGTTAACTGGAAGTTAACTTGTCATCTACCAACAACTACCTAGTCTGTGGTATCAGTTAACTGGAAGTTAACTTGTCATCTACCAACAACTACCTAGTCTGTGATATCAGTTAGCTGGAAGTGAACGTTAACTTGTCATCCACCAACAACTACCTAGTCTGTGATATCAGCATCCACTGGAAGCAGACGTTAACTCGTCATCTACCAACAATTACCTAGTCTGCGATATTGTCATCCGCTAGTAGCCAACATCTTCTGTTATCTACCAACAACTACCTAATTTGCGATGTCTGCATCAGCTTACCATAAACCTACCTCTAATCCCAGCGGGAGAAACTAAAATACATCAAATGGGATGTGCGAAGCCATGCGTGAAAAAATTATAAGTTTATTGATTAGTCTGAAACATCTTCCTCTATTCTAGCTTCTGTAGGATATTTTTACAGTTGGAGTAGGGTCAGAAAAAAAGACTGTTAAAAGGAGATTGTCTACACCTCCGAGGATGCGGTTTTTTAAAATACAAACATAATATTAAATTACCTTTACGATGATTTTAAGTTAGTTTTGGGCATCACCGTAACTTTTGTTTTGTTAATGTCACTTGACTCTGTGATCTTTGAATTTTTGGCTACGTAATTTTAAATGACCAATGCTGGATCAGTTTCGTTGAAAAAAACTTTGATGGAACCGGAGACGTGATATTAATGGTGTGAAGAGAAAATGATGGTATGAGAAGTTCACAAATATTCATTTTTTCAATTCCAAGGCATCAAAATAAGTTTAAATATAATGCAACCTTTGCAGATGCGTAATGTCTCCTTTTAACATCCTTTATGGTGTCTACACCAGCCGGCCGAAATCTGGCCAAATTACTATCAGAGGCTGGAATGGAGACAGATGTTTCGGTCTACCCATTGATATGAATGTTGTCGAAGCATTTTACTCATTGAACTGCGGATTGAAAAAATATACGTTGTCGATTGTTTCGTATTAAATGTTCTGAAACTGTAAATATCAACATTTCTTCGTGTTTTTACCATCTAGATCAGATTAAAAACAAGTGGTTGCCTTTCGCCTAGCAAGATACGCCCACTTTCCTGATATATTTTCAGTATATCAAGGGAGATCACCTATCTGTGTCAAATCATACCAAATATCTAATTTGTGCAATATATTGTTGATTTAAGCAAACATACATTATATAATAAAATTCTGACATAAACTGTCACCTGTATCGCGTTAACAAGCCAGCAAATTTTGATGCGTTTTTACTTAAGTCAAGGGTAATAACTCAAATTCCGTTGATCGAAAAATTGTCAAATTCAATCTTGACTTAAGATCTCATCATGATAAATTGTAGTCTCTGTTGTGTTCACAAACGAAATTTGACACGTTTTTCATAAATCAAGGACAGTAACTCAAAAGATCGTCAAATTCGAACTTGTTCAAAATCTCATTAATGTAAATGATCACACCAAATTTCATTCAAATCAGATAAAAACTGTTTTCTCTATTGCGTTCACAAGCCAATTACGGACGGACGGACAGGCAACGGAATACTGTTAGTTGTTGGAAATAATAGTGAAAAAGTACAAAATTCTAAGAGACAGTCAGTACACATTAACGACAAACCATTGTAATTTTATAAGGTCGGCGGAGACATGTATTGGCTTTTCATTTGTGTAACAATAATAAATATCTGTTCTCTTGTTTTTGGTTTTGGAAATCAATGTTTTCAACAAGACAAGCTCCTTAACATAGACAAGCTCCTTAACATGGTTAAAAGTTTGGGAATTAAGACATCCATCTTTTAAGTCGGTTACATCTCTGGGTCCAGTAGATTGTGCAAGACAGTGCAAACTTCATACATTATGCTATTTTGTCAACTTCAATATCAACACTTCAAGTTTATGGGATTTTAATGATGTTGATTTAGTTCCTGATAGACTATGACAATTTTTAAAAAATCTACTTGACGAAAGTCCCCATTAGTAATAATTGTGGCCTGTTTTACCAGATCAATAAGATACCAGCTTCTTAATGGCTCTGAAATTATGATATTATCTACACGGTTTGAAAATTGTTTTAATGAAGCATACTTTTTCTCCGTTAGTATATCTTGATTGAAATTTATAGAAAGGTTATTTTAGTATAAGTGTCTTTTGTAAGGAAATTGCGATCCATGAGACATGTTCTCGAAATATATTAAAAATTAATAAATGCTTTGTGTTGAGTCTGTAACTTAATCCCCGAGGCATGTGAACAATGTCAACTGGCATGATAGAAACTTCGATAGTTATTTCGTAATATTCTAGCCCGATACGACTCTAATGTACCTAAAATACATATTAAGTCAAACGAAATCTACAGCCTCTACTGCTTACACACATCAACGTCTTCATTGACCGGGTAGATGTTAGATGTTAGAGATTTACATATTGATAACATGCAGTTTACAAATGAAATAAAACAAGGTAATGGGCATTGCAATATGTTCTTGGTATATTTCTAGCCCGACAATTTGTAAGATGCATATGAGTATGAGAAACTTTTGACCAATATGTCTATATCGCAACCATACGCAACTGTTGATCAGTATGGTGTGTGGGCCTCCTTAACCTCATTCTCAAATTCTGTTCTCTATAACATCAAAAAAAAAATTGTGTTGTTTTCTGTGTTTTTGTTTTTATTGTTGTTGTTTCCCTGAATACCAACGACTGTGTACAAATTAATGGTTCATATCCAAATGAAAGATCGATTGTTTCGTTATTATTAGTCTTAGATATTCAATAAGGTACCAATGCATTTAAATCTCAAAGCGAGGAATCGTGCGTGAATATTTTGAAATTGAAACCTGATGACATGCTGTTTGTGATGATTGAAGTAAAAGAGATTCTCATATTGTTGCTGTGTTTGGAATACGTTGTTGGACTTCACGAAGGTCGATGCTATATACCTGATGGGTTGCCTGGTACTATGGAGGGAAAACGAATGATCGGAGAAGCTTTCCTTGAAACGACATCAATCGGTCCCGTCGACTCTGTAAGGATATGTAAATTACACGCACTGTGTCGTTGTGTGATCTTTAACAAAATAAAACTTTAAACGTCTCTGATGGCGACCAGAGGCCATGTAATACCAAATTCTGAGCAGATGTTAATAGACGTTGGGCAGTGGAACGATAACATGCTAGGACTTTGTAAATATAGTCGACCACAGCCATATACGCCCTTCACGGCATGCGGATGGTAAAAACGAAACATCCATTTTAAGTTTCATCAAAATCGGTTGAAAACTAAGAGAGTAATAGCATATTCAAGATTTTGGGGCAAGGGCAATAACTCTGCTTCTAACAGTCGAAAATAGCTCAAATTCGAACTTGATCTTCGTTTTATGAATATGTATAAACATACCGAATTTCATTTGATTCCATCAATAAATCTTGTTTTAGAGCGTTTACGAGCAATTGATGTTGATAGAAGCACTTACTGTATAGAGGTTAAAGGGCGATAACTCCTCAAAACCGGCGTAAGAGGCCTAAATCTTGAAAAAGCCTTGAATTTAATCAGAAGTAAACTAAACTTTCTCAAACCTTTCGATTTAGGTCCAATAACATCCATTTTATGTTTCATCAAAATCGGTTGAAAACTAAGAGA